CGTGTCGGCGAGGATGCGCTTGCGCAGCCGCTCCTGCTTGCGCCCGATGGAGCCCGGGCGCAGGCCCGGGCCGAAGCGCTCGGGCGGCGACGGCGACGGCGACGGCGAGGATGCGGCGACGACCGACTGCGACGGCCCGACGAGCCAGCGCTGCATGCGCTGCTGCTCGAGCTCCTCGCTCTGTGCGACGTACTGCCCGCGGGCGTCGACCTCGGCGGCAAACTCGGGCCAGTCGTCGTGGTCGACGACGCAGACCGACACCAGGCCGAGCTTCTTGAGGTAGACGAGGCCCTCTGCGATCGAGTCGAGCTGGCGATCGGTAAAGGGGCCCTGCACCTTGACGAGGGCGGTGTGCGAGTCGGCGAGCGAGTCCGAGGTCGACGTGGTAGGCGGGATGGCGACGGTGGCGTTCTCGCGCGGCGTGATGGCGTCTGCGGTCGACGTCGAGGGGGCGGGAGAGTAGCGGTCGGCGGCGGCGCCGGGGCTGGTGCTAGCGCTGGTGACGGCATCGGCGGCGGCTGCGAGGCCGCGCTGGAGGCGATGCTGCTCGTGGAGCTTTTCGCGTATGGAGCGGGGCAGCTGCGCGGAGAGGGACCGAGGGCCGGCGCCGGACGGGTGGTTCGAGACGGGGTCGGGGTCGGCGTCGGCGTCGGCTATGGAGCGGTCCGGGTTGGCGATGGTGGTCGAGGGGTTGTGGAGGGAGCCCGGGTGTGCGACGTGCGGAGGGATGGGGAACTCAAAGTGCGGAGGTGGTGCAGCCGATGAGGGCGGGTGCGGCTGCGGGTGCGGTGCAGAGGGCTGAGCCGGCCGCTGACGGCTGTGCTGTGGGTCGTGGTTGGAGGCGTGCGGGTTGTGCTGGAAGAAGGGCTGTTGCTGCTGCTGCTTTGTATCCGGGCGGGGCTGCTTGCGTGGTGCGAAGCTGTTGAGGTAGCTCTTGGAGTCGCGGAGAGAGGGCTGGGCCTGGAGGATCTCCATGATGAGGTTCTGCATGCGCTTCGACATGGTGGCGAGGTGGTAGGTGGCGGGCAGCGAAGCGGGACGTCGACAGAGGAGGGGATCCGGAGATGCAAGGCGAGGGTGGGGCAATGAGGGACGGGACGAGACGGCAAGATGCGATTAGAGGGGGGCGCGGTGGTGGTGGCGGTCAAGGCGGGGGCAGTGGCAGCATCGGCGGTGGGGGACGAGCGGATGTCATGGCCAGCATGCCATAGTGGTGGTTGGTGTGGTGGTGGTTGGTGGTGCGGTGAGATGGGCAGCGGCGAGGGCGGTGGTGGTGGTGGTGGTGAAAGCGAGAGGGCGGGGGAGGGAGAGCGAGTCAGTCAGAGGGGTCCCCAAAGACACCGCCGAGTCAGATGCGAAGGTTGCCTTTGGCTGCCTGTGGCCGCCGCCCCCCGATGGTCCGCCCATTGTGGAAATTTGAAAAATCGGTTTCGGTGCGCGCCGGGGAGCGAGGACGAGGCCGCCTCTGTTTGGCCATCGTTGATGCCACCATCGCCTCTGCTTGCTGCCCGCCGGCTTGGCTTGGCTTGGCTCAGCGGCCGGATCTTCCGGTCGCTACGGCGAGCCTCGTCGACGCACGTCATCCGCCCTAATCTCCCTACTACAGTGCTCGGCAGGCTGCGCATCGAAATGACCTATGGCTGCGACCGCGACGACGTCCACTCACGCGCTGCATCTGGCGCTCAAAGCCATAGCCATCGTCGGCGCTGCTCATCTGGCCGCTGCCGTCGGCTGCCACGGAAGCCAGCTCGACGAGCGAGGGCAACGGCCTGCGTCGAGCACCGGTGCGGCTCGGCTCGGCGCGGTCAAACAGGTGGGCCTCGCCCTCGTAGACGTCGGCGTAGAAGGCGCGCCGGCTTGCGACGGTGGCGGTGCGCGCTCCGGCGGCCAGGCGTGGTCGGCAGTGCAGCATCGGCCGCATCGTCGACGTGGTGTCGCTGTCGCTGTCGCTGGGTTCGAGGCGGTACGAGAGGCGGTTAGAGGGGCGGTGGCGGTGGGTGTCGATGGTGGTAGATAAGAGGGCCGGTACGGGGCAGGGAGAGGCTAGGCTCGCGGCCCGACCCGACCCGACGACGGCGGCGATGCTCGATTCTTATACGGTGCCGCAGTCCGAACAGGGCGCAGGGTGACGAGCCGGTGTTGTTGACGACGACGACGACGGGGCGACGACGGCGAGACGATGCCCCCGAAAGGCGGCCGGGAGGCTACAGGAGGTCGACCTAGTTCGACCGCCAGCTCAGAGGCCGACCGGCATCACCCTCGACCCTCGACCCTCGACCCCTCGACCCGAAGAGCTCGGCCAGCCCATGCCGAAGTGAACCAATATGGCTGCGACTAGCGCGACGCCCCCTCTGACCGGCCGGCGGATGGCGGATGGGGTCGGCGCGCAATCTAAGCGAAGCAAGAAACCCTCGATCCACGCACGCACGACGCTGACCCGCCGACGCCAGCTTAGCCTCTCGCCGGCAGCCAGAGCGCGCTGCTAGTTGGAGGTGACTTGGACCAGTCTCGCCTGACTGCCGACGAGACAGGCGATCCGATGTCGAGGTGGCTACATATTCATGTCGCTTCAGCCTCGTCGGTCGGCGCTCTTTCTCGGCATCGCCGCCAGTCGATCCGTTTCTTCCGCCTATCGAGGCCAGCTCGTGCTGCGACGACGACGACGACGACGACCTCGTTGCGGTGGGCATGCATGCCAAGCCGAGTGCGGTGGGAAAGCGCTGACGTCGAGAGACCAATCAGCGCGGGTCAGAGGGAGCTCGAGTCGGACTGGACCGGCAGCACGTCGACGACGACGGCGAGGCAGAGGGAGCGAGCCAGGGAGCCGCGGACGAAGCGGGTCAAAATGGATGGCGTCAGATCAGGCGGCGGCGATGCGGCGGCGATCCGGCTGCAGCCAGATCTGATAAGATCCACCGCCCGTCGGCCACCGCTCAGCGTCAGCCAGGGCGCAGAACTACGTTGAATCCGATTCTTCGAGCTGCGGATTTCACGCGCGCCAAGACCGTCAAGTCAAAGCTCAACAGGCTATAGCATCAGTATCATTAATTTGGCCCGTCGTTCACAAGCGCATTGATAGTGTAGGGGTATCATGAGTCGTTGCCACTCGTCGTCTGGACCGCTCCGACGATTAACCGATTCGACTCGACCGGGGTTCGAGTCCCCGTCAATGCATTCGTTTTTTTCCCGGGATGGATCGAGCGACGACGACGGCATGGCGATCCATGTTTTTGCACACACACACGGACGGCGACGAGGCGACTCGCTGCTTATTCACGGACCTGGGCACGACAGCCAGCCACATGCCGCAACGTCGAGCAGCGCGATCTTGGCGCTGCTCGGAGACAGGGCGGCCGACGTGCATCGCCAACGTCGACGTCGCCCCGGCATCGAGGCCGGTCGGTCCGTCGGTGCCGAGGCGCGACGTCGGGCTAGAGGCTTCCAGCAGACGCAGAGCAGAGCAGGGCGAGACTAGGCTAGGCCAGGCTAGGGCGAGGGCGCAAGCAAGCAAGGTGGTGCGAGGCGAGGCGTCGAGGACGGCGCAGGACACGCCGGGGACAGCTCGACTAGAGGCTCGGTTGGTAGCCGGCCTGGCCCCGCCTAGCCCGACCCAGCCGGGCAGACAGACAGCGCGACGCAGGTAGGAAAGAGGGCTGGCCTGCCTGCCTGCCGGCTGACTTGCCCTAGCCTGCCCTAACCTGCGCGCTGCTGGCTAGCCTGCCAGCCAGTGGTCGAACGGGGCCCGTGCGTGAGTGCGTCTGCCTCGAGGCGGGGCGGCGTGCGTCTGCACGCAGGCAGGCGGGTTGAGCGCACCTCTCTCGGCGGCCGCGGAAGTTGAGGAGGTCCGAGCGCAGGCTGGCTAGCCAGGCCAGGTCAGGCAGCGAGGCCCACAAGCAGCGCGCTCAGCTCGCTCAGCTCGCTCAGCTCGACCAGCTCGTCCAGCCACCGCCTCAACCGCCTCTCTTCCAGCCAGCCGTTCCAGTTCCAGTTCCAGCCAGGTCGAGTCGAGTCGGGTCGGGCAGGCACCTGGTCGACCACGCCTGCCTGCGCTCCAGGATCGATCGATCGATCGGTCGGTCGGTCGTTCATTCGGACCCTGCCTGGCCTGCCGACGCCACAGCACCGGCGTCCAGTGACGAGACGGGCGAGGGAGCGAGCGCGGCAAGCGGTCGGCTGGCCGAGCTCAGCTAGTCGGTCAGCCGACCCACCAGCCAAGGACGAGGCTAGCGAGCGAGCCGTCTGCTGGCTCAGCTCAGTCAGTCAGCCGACCAGCCAGCCAGCTGACCAGCCGACCAGCCGACCAGCCATCCAGCCAGCTTAGGACGAGGCTGGCTCGCCGCGCCAAGCCGTCGCGCGTCGGTGGGTCGACTGCGGTGGGGTGGGTCGGGTACGGTCTCTTGCGGCCAAACCGCATCCAGCTCGGCGCCCGGTCGCTCAGCTAGGCTGGGCCAAACACAGATCGACCACGTACGGACCCAGCCAAGCCAAGACCTCCCGGCTCGACGTACTGGCCAGGCTGGATCGACGTCAGTCAGCACGGTACGGCCCAGTTGGTCCGGCCAGCCAGCCAGCCAGGCAGCGCGCCACAGCACAGCCTCCGATCCACACGGACTGGGTCGAGTGAGGTCGGGCACTTT